ACCGAATTTATTATTGTTTTCCTACTCGATGTAAGACCGAATTAATTTGTTGTCCACTCGATGTAAGACCGAATTAATTATTGTTGTCCACTGGATGTAAGACCGAATTTATTATTGTTTTCCTACTCGATGTAAGACCGAATTAATTTGTTGTCCACTCGATGTAAGACCGAATTAATTATTGTTGTCCACTGGATGTAAGACCGAATTTATTATTGTTTTCCTACTCGATGTAAGACCGAATTAATTATTGCCGTCCACTCGATGTAAGACTGAATTAATTTGTTGTTCACTCACCGTAACACTGAATTTAATCCGTCCTGCCCCTCGGCTCCGCTATAGAAGCTGACAAGAGGCTAACGAGGGTGTGCACACCTCTCTCTCTCTCTCTCTCTCTCTCTTCTCTCTCTCTCTCTCTCTCTCTCTCTCTCTCTCTCTCTCTCTCTCTCTCTCTCTCTCTCTCTCTCATATTTCAGAAAACAATCGGGCATTTACTGTTACACAGACAGTTACTGGTTTTTAAAGAGAACTAGCTTGTGCTTGTTCTTTCTGATGTAGGCCTACTCTCCAAAGACCTGTGCTTTGTGTTCTTTGACTGGGTGATACGTGAGGATTTTTATGTAGGCACGTGCCATTGCCTTGATCAATGAGAACACGTGATTGTTTTCTGGTTGGGTGTCCAACATGGTGTTGCAGCTTGCCCGTGAAATCAGGCGCCCGTCAATTTTTGGGCATATTGAGTTGTTGATATAATCTTATAGTCAGTTAACTTGCCTTGCTTGTGGTGAAAAAAATATATATCTAACTTGAATAGACGTCCTTATATTTATAATTTAGGAATGGAGGATGTGGAGTTCGCCTGGTGTCAGAGGTGAAATCAGAGACTGAGAGAGAAAATGGCCACCAAAGTTTGGTGATTCCAAAGCTTGAGAGTCCTTGGGAACTCTACAATAGCATTGTGTGTGCCTTAAATCAACATTTTCGGTAAAATTCACACAAAGAAGTGTTTTAAACTAGACATAAAAGATGTCGAGACAAACAATAAAAATTTGATAAAAATTGTCAAATAGGAAGAAAATGATACTTTCTTCGATTTCATTATTTTCACGAGCCGAATTTCAACACGATGTCTCGTATAAATTATGATCCTCGAGACTGCCAAACACCTGGTTGCCAACATTCTGCAGGACCACAGATGCGATAGCTCAGCTCCTAGCAAACCTTCACCATGGGTAACTCTGTTCTCGTTGACGTACCGCTGCTCATTTATATATGCATGTGATTGTAAGCCTACGTGTGTGTGTGTGTGTGTGTGTGTGTGTGTGTGTGTCTGTGTGTTTGGGTGTGTGTGTGTGTGTGTGTGTG